GAGCACCTAATGCTGGATTTCATTGAGCTTAGTCCATCAGAGGGTAAGAAGCATTGTCTTGTGGTGGTTGACATGTGGTCCAAATGGGTTGAAGCTTTCCCAGTAAAAACACAGACAGCAAATGCTGTGGCAAAGGCATTACTGAGGGAAATCATTCCTAGATGGGGAATACCAGATAAGATCTCTAGCGACAATGGTTCACATTTTGCTAATGAGGCCATTGCACAGATAGGAGAATACCTGGGCATGGACATCAGAAAGCATTGTGCTTACCATCCACAGAGTGGGGGTGCGGTGGAAAGAGAGAACGGTACAATCAAAAACAAGCTAGCAAAATGCTGCGCAGACACAGGTCTGTCGTGGACACAGGCTCTGCCCATTGTGCTGATGTACATGAGGATGCGGAAACGAACACGAAGCCAACTTAGTCCATTTGAAATCCTTTTCGGTGCTCCTCCACAGATTGGAATCAAGGCTCCAGGATATCCTCTCCCCTCCACAACTTTGTGTGAGGATGCTATGTTGTCATATTGTGTTAACCTGTCATCCGCTTTAGCAGATATCAGACGTCAGGTAGCAGCAGCTCTACCTACTCCTGCTACTGGTCCACTTCATCGTCTCCAGCCTGGCGACTACGTGTTGGTAAAGGACTTCCGGAGAAAGAGCTGGAAATCCAACCGTTGGCAAGGTCCCTACCAGGTGCTTCTCGTCACCCAGACAGCGGTCAAGGTCGCCGAGAGAGCCACGTGGGTCCACGCCAGCCACTGCAAGGTCGTAGTCACAGGCCAGGAGAAACGGTAGAAGCAGACGACGACAAGTGACGTGCCAAGTCACCACCAGCACTACATTGCACCACATACACCTGACTCTCACACTACACACTACACACACGGTGGCATGAGTGAGTGCCAGTTGAGCTGTTTCATATGCCTCTGGTTCCTCGTTTGTGCTGTCATTGTGTGGGGCCTCATTGACATTGTCTGTTGCACATGTTTTATTATTCCCCTACTGAAGAAATGTGTATCTAGCATGATATCCACAGCTTTTGTTCAGTATGCTGCTGTCCCAATCCGAGATCCGACAGGGCGCCGGCCCTACGAAAACCTTTTGCCCCAAACATACCGGCGTCCAAATCCAAGTGTAGTCGAGTCAGAATCAGAGTCTGACTATGAGACATATGAGACAGTGATATAAATGCGAATTGAGTTTACCCTCCTCTTATGCTTACATTATACTGAAGTCTGTCCTCCACAAAAACAGCTATTTTCCATGATATATTTGTGACGTGTTTACTTAAACCAGCGATGGGATGTATTCATTGATGTGTTATATCAGTCTATCCTGTCATTTTGTTTATTTTCATGATTGATCATAGTATGATCAAAAGGAGGGAATGTAGTGGAAAACTTTATAACAGTGTATACTTATAAACTTTATATGTAGTGTAAACTAACTTATGATGTGCAAACTAAACTCTATGTGTTACCTAACATAAATGCTATGCTTGTCCCCATGTGGAGGTATTTTAATTCATGCCTTCTGTTCAACATATAACTGGCCTTAGGGATGTCTGGGGGTGAAACAGGGTCATAAGCCCAAGTGAAGAAGTGTCCCCAAGTGTCTCAAACAAGTTCCTGATTTGTTTCCCCTGTCTTGCAATGAATTCCTCATTCCTTGTTTATATCTGTTCTGAACTCTCTATGACTTCCTGCTGTCCTCATTTCACCTGGCTTTAACACATTGGGGGTTAAAGTTTCAACACTTCCATCTGTCTTTACCCAGTTCCTGTTTTACTAAGTTCCTGATTTACTACCTTGCCCATGTGTGGCTTCTGTTCCTCTGAAATGTGGGTTTTAGCTTATCTGCCCATCCAGCCCCCCCAAAGTAACAGGTCACGAGTTATTGTTGAACTGTGGACTGACAAAGATGCTATAAAACCTATGCGCAATTCTCTCTCTGCGCGCACTCTTTCAGAATACTCTGTACTCCGTAAGACCTGTGCCTTATTTGAAGCTTCAAATAAAGATCCAGAAAGACAACTCTGTTTCCACCATTTTATTGATTGATGGGTCTGCCTCTCGCGACCAAGGGGGCACTAATCGGGTGGGTTTCTCTGTTGTTTCAGATTCTGCTGTACTCTGTTCCGGCCCACTCCCATGCCACCTCTCAGCACAGGCAGCAGAGCTCATCGCACTTACAGAAGCCTGCACGTTTGCAAAGGGCAAGACAGGGCTCGAGCTTAAGGACCTCCCGTCGTCCCGGGGCCGAAAAAAATCGGGTCGGGGAGGATACAAATTAATTTTGGGACGAATTTGGGACGAGAGTTAAAATAAAAATACCCTGCTAACTCTACTACGAACGGCGATGAAAATGAAACTGACTGCACGTTTTGTGTAGCACACAGTTATTAAACCTCCTTGTCAACATAAACACACACAAAGCATTTAGCAACCCGCGAAATACACACACACACAGTACGTATAGCTACAGCTGTCAGCCAGCCGTACAGCTGTGATGTAACTACCATTTTTTTACCCCGGAGCGGTGCGGAGAAACGAAACTTAACTTATGAAGCAGCTTTTGACGGCGCGCTATGCATGGGGCACCCGAGAGGGGGTTTCCAGACATGTCATTGCAGCTGAGATGAGAACTCTCCATCGCATGTAGTCCTTAGCAATATGCTGCGCCTCTCCCCATGTAGGGATGGGTACCGAGCCCCGGTATTAAACGGGCCCCGGGCCGGAATTATTAAAGACAGTGGTAGAGACATTTAAAACATATATGTCATATGTATTATTGCTACATGAACATTATATTGCAGTTTTAGTTTCGCCAACTCCGTTTCTAATATGCAATAAGACTACAAAATGCGTCTATGATGTATTTTCGATCTTATTTTCGATCTTTCCAATCCAGACGAGAGAGCTCTCTCCTGTGTGCGAGGGGGCGAGGCAGTTTGTAAAGGTCTCCTGACTGTGTTACAGACTGTCATCCTGGTTAGTGGTTACTCTGGGTTCTGTCTTCAGGACAGAGTGTTGGATTTTGTTGTTAATCGGATGGGACTTGATTGGATTCAATATTAGAGCAACTTTCTCGCTTGTGTGTTTTTTTTAAATATATTTGGCCTTTGTTTATGTGTTTGACTGATTGACTCAAATAAAAAGGTTGATGAATTATCATCTAATGATTTGTTTGATGTTTTATTTATGTTAAAGGTCACTTTGAATGATTTTAACTAATGATAATGTAGAAAAACAAATATTTTAAATTCGGGACGGTCCACATTAATTTCGGGACGGCTTAGATTGTATTTCGGGACGGTTCCGGGAGGATGGTGAAAAAAGTTAGTCGAGAGCCCTCGGGGACATGTCCCCCCCCACTTTTCAAAATCCTGTTTGTCCCCCCTCCCTCTTTTCAAATGTGTTTGTGTGTGTGTCGAGAAGGGAGAAGAAGCAGGGAAATGAGTTTTAAGAGCAATGGGACGTCCTTTCCTCCGGAGCGTCACGTGAAGCGACGTCCGTTTGTGATGATGCCGCACAGCTGATCGTCTGACACACTGGGGGTGTTTCTCAATGTCGAGGAAGGCTGCTCCAGAGCCACTATTTCAAGCATACTACGTCATTGAGTGCCGCCGAAGGACTGTTCCAATGTCCAGCATACTTGGAATTCTACCGAGGCCGGCGTACTTCGTAGCGGGAAATGTCGAGGCTGCCGCTGCACATGTGTAGACTCTGCGGTCTTAAAATCCCCACAATGCTTTGCGTACGGACCAATTTCCAAATCTTTAGCGGAAATCGTGCTCCATTTAAGGCTGGGCCTCGCATATGACGCACACCTGCACACCTGTTCCACAATTCTTCGTTTTCCGAGGCTAGGAAGGATTCTTGCCTCGCTTCTGAAGGAAGTGACTCGGAAGACATGTCCTACCAAGGAAGCGTCCTCGACATTGAGAAACACCCAGTGCTTGAATTGGAATAAAAAAGGTGCCAGTACTCTAAATCAGCAACTGTTTCAAGTCAATTTTATTTATACAGCACAAAAACAAGAATTTGGCTCAAAGGTCTTTACAATTTGTACAACATATCCTCATCATAACATTATCTTCATATCTTTGATTCATTAATTAAAAAGAAACACACAAAAACTTTAACTGACAAGGAAAAGTTTTTTTTTTTTTAAAAACAGAATATTTACTGTAAAGTTCAGCAATGTTATGTTTTTCCACGACTGATCGGGGAGGTGTCCGGGGCTCTCATAGGGAACATGACATAGCCTATACATGTGCCTGCATCAGGTCATATAGTATATCCTATAATCAGGGCCGGCCTGTAGCACTGGCGACATAGGCGGTTGCCTAGGGCGCCAGATCTGGGGGGCGCTGCGCTGGCAGCTCTGGGAGGGGAAAAACATTTTTTGACCGTTGGCGCTCATCCTAATTTTCGGCCTTGATGTAACAACATTCATAAATAAGTAAATTTCACTCCGGTTACACTTTTCATTTGCCCTGTACGATGGGCGCTGTAAGTGATGAAAGTGGGGGATGTTGGCTTATCAGGTGCATAAATAAATAAATGTTAACTAGGTAAAATAAGATATAAATGAACAACAAAACTTTTATGATGCTTTCAGCTCAAAAATCATATCATGCTGCTCTCCCCTACATGAAAGTACATAAGACGCTTTTCATTTTAAAAATGATCGGTATCGATATCGGTGATACTGGCCCTGAAATACTTGGTATCGGATCGAATCCAGATTTTGTGGTATCGCCCACCCCTATTAAGTAGGAGACTCACACTCTTCATTGAGTATCCATTAGACCACCACTACCCCTATATGCAGCCACAGTAACTCAAAATTGACATCGTAATTCCGACGGTCTGGGCGTAAGTTTAAGGATATTACGCCTCAAGTTAAAAAAAACGGATCCGATTTCGGTACGGTATACCGTAGCCGCCAGTAACCGGTATTTCGGTAATACCGGGAACCGGTATGCACCCCTATTCCTGGGGGCTTGAATCAGAGACTCCTGCTTCCGTGACTTTCGATTTCTTCAATGTCGAAGCTATCAGACATTTTTTCAAGTCGGCATGGATCTGACTTGCTTCGGGTCGCTGTTCTGGCTTCTCACACAGCATTGGCTTTATTGTGAGGTACTAAAAAGAAAAAAAAAAGAAACAAAAGAACAGGTACTTAGATCTGTGTTGCATCAAGCAGAGGTGGAAGAAGTACTCAGATGTTTTTACTTAATTTAAATTAGCACTACTACAGTGTTAACATACTCGGTACTGCATTCAAAATGAAACTCAAGTAAAAGTACAAAAGTATTGGTATCACAATATACTTTCAGGACAAGAATTAAAAATCCTTATGCAGAATGACTCATTTCAGAATAATATCTATTAAATGATTGTATAATAACTATTAATGAATTAATGTGTTCATCATTTTGATGTTATCCTTGATGAAGATAACGTTTATTTGAATGACTTCATATGCTGCTGGGTCACTTGACCTGTAGTGATAAATTAAAGCAGCAAAAGCCATAAATTAAAAGTAGGAGTAAAAGTACATTATTTGCATCTAAATTGTAGTGGAGTCTAAGTATAAATTAGCATAAAATTGAAATACTTAAGTAAAATACAAGCTCCTCCAAATGTACTTTTGTAGAGTACTTGAGTAATCGCACTTGGTTACGTTCAAACACTGGCATTAAGAAATGTTATGAAACTGCAGTATTACTGCACTCAGCCGTATTTCATGCATATTGAAATCACCGGGAAAACAGATAAAGTTTAATTTTAAATGCAGATTGCAAATATCATTTTTTGTGCAATAAACAATTTGTATATTTTTACACCGTATGCCAATCATGGGAACATGGCCTAAATTGGTGTGAAATAGTAAAAACTACAAACAACTACAAAGTCAGGGCTCTAGATTGAAAGGCTAATTAACTAGATTGGTTTTAATGTATTAGTCATTTTTTTGTTTCCTTAAGGGTCTGAGTGTTACATTTTTCGTAAACTTTAAGATAGATTTATTATAAGAGACAAGGTTGAACTTCCAACATAAAATAGAACATCTCACAGCCTTGCTAATGTCCTATGCATCAACATAGCTACAATTATTGAAAAGTTTAAAAGCGTAACATGTCCCTAGTTACAAAAGAGGGTTACGAGCATGTTAACATACTAAACAACTAAATTGCATGTACATTGACAAAATGTACAAAATAACAGACCTCTTGGTGGAAATTGTGTTGAAACTCCTCGGGAAATTTCTGCTCTCTGAGGTCGGTCCAACCCTGTGCAGTGAAAGGATGTGTTACTGTAATGACAGAACTGAAAAATCTGCTCCATCATGCTCTGAAATAGTTTCAAGACTTCTGATAAAAAGATGTCTGGCAGCATAAAATAACAGGTTATTACCAATGACAAGTACACAGTTAGCAGAATTTTGAATCGTAGCTAGAAAACTCACCTTGGCCCTTTCACAATAGGTGGACATTTTCCAGAGGAGTTCAAAGTATATCAACCCCAAAGGAAAGATATCAACTTTTCGGTCATAAGTCTTTTGCCTTTCCTGTTTTGATACAATAGAAACACAATATTGACAAGAAGGCAAGATGCAGCTGTACAGTATATATATATATTAAGTTTATGTTTAATATCCACATGTATAAAGTATACATGTATTTAAAGGTGGGGTAGGTAATTTTGGAGAAACCGGCTCGAGATCGCTAGAATTTGAAAATACACAGCCGGAAAAAAATCTGCCACTTCCTTACAGAGCCCCTCCTCCAACACACACGAACGCACACATGACCAATGAGGGCACGAGATAAGTTTGTGCCCAGATGGAAGGCTGACAGGCAGGTAGGCCATCCAGTTATTTTATTCGGGCCGGCTAAAATGATTGGTCGTGCTTTTTACAGTACTACGGCTTCCACAGATTATTTTATAGATTTTTTGTCAAAGCACTTAACATCCCGATAGCAATGAATATCTTAAGAGCATTCCATGGAATATAACAAAAAGTGTATCTCGAGCCGGTATCTAAAACTTACCTACCCCACCTTTAAATCAACGCAATCTAATCCAATGGTTATTGAAACCAGTCTGATATTTTTAAGATATTAAAGTGGCTGAGATTAAAACATTTAAAATGTGCGAGAAATAAATCTGAAATTAGTGATAGGGGGTTTTTAATTGTCAAGCAACCACATCAAATTTGCAAGGTTGTATCAACCTAGTCAGACTACAGACATCACCACTTGCCATTTAATATGCCAGCACTGGAATTTAATCTTGAACATTGAGTTTTTTTTTCAATTTGGCTATAACCCACATTTAAAATTTGGTAAAATCTTCCCAGCTCTCCCTTTGACATTTTGTCAGTACAGAACATCTCACCTGCTCAGGAGCCATGTATGAAGGGGTTCCTTTGCCCATCGATCTCTCCCTCAGGTTCTCAGGATCGTTGTCAAGTGTGACCATACCAAAGTCTACGATCTTCACTTGTCCATCTTGCCCAATCATGATGTTTTCAGGCTAAACACGGGAAATAAATAAACAAACAAACAAACGTGTATGTTGTGTCTCAATATGCTTACTTTTGGATTTACACTTGCTTTTTTTAATACATGAATGGGTTAAAACTGAGAAGTATGGAAAAATGCAGTGCACTACGAGAACCAGGATGGGGCAACCTCAACAACACAGCATAATACAAATAGAAGTTATACATGTGGGCTTATTACACTATTTTATACAGTATATGCACCTCTACACTTCTCAAAGCAGCCACCAGTAATATTATTGGGCTAATACAGCAGACTGACTGCAAAAACTACAACATTGCTAGACAGCGAGAATTGACACTTTCTCTGAGGGCACAGCAGCCGTTTGCAGTTTTCACATTATACGACATAGCAGTTTACTAAAGTAAGTGTCTTAATTGAGAACAAGCTGTTTTCATGATCGACGTGGTGTAATAAACTTTTTTTCCTCCACTTTCTCTTACCTTCAGGTCCCTGTGGATGAGCTTCTTAGAGTGAATGTACTTGACTCCTTTGACTGTTTGCTGAAACTTAGTAAGAGCCTCTTTTCTTCTCTTGGGGTCTGGCAGAGATTTCTCATTATTCTCATCTATCCACACTCTGAGTGATTTTACACACAACTCAGTCTGAATATATAGGTAGCGGTTCCTTATCGATGGATTGATAGAACACCTGGAGGAGAAAGAAAAGACAAATGAAGAAGTCCATACCTCAAGTACGTATCTTTATTGGATATCGGATTGTTCCTTACTGTGTAGAGCTGCCACTCTCATCTGGACTGTATCCTGAATCCTCCAACCAACAGGTGAAGTATCGCACAATGTTATGGTGATGGAGTTCTGACAATATCTGCACCTCTTGCAGAGCTTGTTTAATACTAAGGAGAAGAAAATAGCTCAGCTGAAACTTTACTTTTTTTGCACATCATCTTTAAATGTTATATTGCACTAGGAAAAGTCTGATAAAAAACATGGAACGTAATTTAATGTTTGACTTACTCTCCACTTCTACATTGTACAATCTTTATTGCAAAAGTCTTCCCAGTCAGTTTTTCTGTTGCCTTAACAACTTGACCATAGGATCCTTCGCCGATCATCTCTATGCAGTCAAAGTCTTTTGTCAACCTATTGAAAGACAGTAAAGTATTTATTATTGTATATTCATTGTATAAAACAGCCAAACAAAACGATACCTTAATGTTTGAATTTTCCATACCTTGACAATTCTGATTTGTCAATGGGACAGTTTCCTGTGTTCACTTCCTGATTCTCTGATTTATAGCTTAGATCAGTGGTTCCCAACGCCAGCGTGAAGCTTGGGAAGAAGTTGTAAACAAACATTATTTGCTCGTAAAATCAACACATTTTTAACACAACCGGCAGTTAAAAGAAAAGTGGACGAGCCCACGACAAGCCTTTCAGCTATAATGCCCAAATCAACAAAGTATGATGAGGCATACATCTCCCTTGACATCTAACGTGTGTCTGTCTGTCTGTCTGTCTGTGTGTGTGTGAACAATATTGCCAAAGCGTCAAGGATAATACAATTCAATAGTGATATGATAAGAAAAAAATAAATACAATTCATTCATTAAACAATTTACAACAATATATTATTACAAAACCTCAAGTATGAAATGTAAAAAGAAAGAAAGAAAGAAAAGAAAGACCCATGAAGTAGAGGAGTAATCAGAGTGAGCTGTGAGGAACAGCTGTTATGTGTTGTTGCTGTCTCTTAGGCTGTGACATGCGCTCACATATTTTGCTGCTTCTATGCTGCTGGCACTATTTTCTCCAAGTACATGTTGCATTTTATTCTGTTCAGACAGTGATTCAAAATCTTGGAGTTTACATGTTATCTTTGTAAAGAACTTTGTTCTAATGTCTTCGTATGTTTGACAGTGCAGCAGGAAGTGTTGTTCTGTCTCCACCTGTCTCTGTGGACAGAGCTGACACAGCCTCTCTTCTCTGGGCAGCCAGGTCTGCCTGTGTCGGCCAGTCTCTACGGCCAGGCTGTGGTCACTGAGTCTGTACATTGTTAATGTCTTCCTCAGTTTGGGATCAGTCACGGCGGTCACATAGTTTGCCACCGTGTACTGTCTGTTTAGAGCCAAATAGCATTGAAGTTTGTTTTGGGTTTTCGTGGTAGATGTCCAATAGTTGATGTAATTTTATTTTTCGTTAGCTATGATTTGGTTGGGCCAGATTGTGTGAGGGCTGTCCTGAAGCCTTGTCCTGTTAGAGGAGGTGAGCCTCAGCATCAGCTGGTTGAGGGGACTCCTCTCTATGTTCTCCTCTTGGCAATGGAGGGCTTTGTAATGGTAGGAGTTGGGATCACTGGTTTTTAGGTGTTTGTAGAATTTGACTGCTCTTTTTTGTATCCTAATTAAAAAGGGGGGAATTGGCCTAATTCAGCTCGGCATCCATTGTTGGGGGTGTTCCTGTGGACTCTCAGAATGCTCTTGCATATCTCTGCATGTAGGGTTTCTATTGGGTGTTTGTCCCATTTATCAAAGTCTTGATTTCCAAGAGGACCCCACACTTCGCTACCATACAGTATGATTGGTTCTATTATTTAATTGAATATTTTGAGCCAGATTCTAACGGGTATATCTATCTTTGAAGACTTTTTGATAGCATAGAAAGCCTTTCTTCCTTTGTCTCCGAGATCATTAATGGCCAGATTGAAATTTCCTGTCGAAGTAATTTTGAGTCCCAAATATGTGTAGCTGTGTGTGTTCTATGTCAGTGGAGCCCAGTAAGAAGCGGTGTGGATTCCCCTGAGTCGTTTCTGGAAGACCATAATCCTGGTCTTTTCCAGATTAACTGTCAGGGCCCAGGTCTGACAGAAGCTTTGCAGATGATCCATTTGCTGTTGTAATGCCTCCTTAGATGGAGCTAGCAATATTAGATCATCTGAAAACAGGAGGCATTTCATTTGTGTGTCAGAGAGGGTGAGTCCAGGGATATCGGATTGTTCTAATGATTTAGCCAATTGATCAATATAAATGTTAAATAGAGTGGGGCTGAGACTGCAGCCCTGTTTCACCCCTCTACTTTGGGGGAAGACATCTGTTTCCATATTGCCAATTTTCACAGCACATTTATTATTTGTATACATTGTTTTAATGATATATGTTTTCCCCCCTACATACAAAAAACCGTTTTTCAAATCAACTTCAGAGGAAACAGACCGTTATGCCAAAATTGAGCCGAATGCTTTTTTGAAATCTACAAAACAAGAGAAAATCTTCTTATTTTGGTGGACATGTTTATGAATGAGGGTGTGGAGGGTATATATATAGTCTGTAGTCCGATGGTGTGGTGTAAATCCAATCTGACTCAGGACATTATGTTCACTGAGGAAGTCTTGCAGTTGGCTGTTTAAGATGCTGCAGAATAACTTCCCCAGGTTGCTGCTGACACACACACACACACACACACACACACACACACCACACACACACACACCACACACACACACACCAACACACACCAGCACACACACACACACACACACACACCAGCACACACACACACACACACACAGGACACACACACACCACACACACACACACACACACACACACACACAACACACACACACACACACACCACACACACACACACCACACACACACACAGCACACACACACACACACACACACCACACACACCACACACCACACACACACACACACACACACACATCACACACACACACACACACACATACACACCACACACATCACACACACACACACACACACACACACACACACCCACAACACACACACCACCACACACACACACACACATCACACACACACACACACACACACACACACACACACCCACACACACACCACACACACACACACACACACCATCTTGGAAACCTTTTGCAATTCTAACAAGATATCAATTAAATGAAACACACCAATATTATAATTTTGTTAAACCTTCAAGGTGATTTACCATGTTTTGGGCTTCACAACAGGATCTTGTTCCTTTAAAAAAAAAAGAAGGAAATATAGATGTTGATGCCAGTCAAATTAAAGCAGCATTTACATATCAAATTGTTTAACATCTTGCTTGGTAAATAGAAAGTTAACTTACTGATAGAAATGACCCAAGACGTACATTTTGTGCTCCATTTTTGGGGATTATTTCCACCAATAACGGGCCAGGACCACATGATAATACATCCTCGAATAAAAAAAGAGTGTCTACAACATCAAGTTAAGTTGGCAGATCTTTCTAGTTACAGAAAAAGGGTGTTCTTACAGTTTACCAGTATTTACCATGTCTTTGTACAGATATCAACCCTTTGAGACTTGACACAACTCAGGCTCTCTGGAGATAAACTGAGAACTATATTATTGATTCTCCCTTCCAGAACCCTAGAGATTAAGGATGAAAAAATTACTGACCTCATCCTCGGTAGGACTTGATGAATTGATGAAGGCAGTCATTGGCACGCTTTTTGATTTTGCATCACGGGTGTCCCTTGGAGAATACACACATACCCCTTTCACACCAACGCAACTCCGGTTCAAGCTCCGTGCTAGAGCTTTTCAGGTTCAGAACCGGTACTTCGGTTTAGCTCCGGCTCTTTTCACACCGCTCAGAGCCCGACTGGTGCTGCCGCTGCTGCGTCATGACGTCACAGTTTACGTCGCTGATTTTCTCCCCAACGGAGCTCACCTCACAACAACAACGGGCCGGGGACTGCGTTGCTTTTAATCATACGAAGCCAGATTAAATTAAATAACGACTTCTCCAACCTTATACTTTTCTCCAGAGTGCCGTGGTTCATTGTTTATTAATGCGTTTCAGCGGCATTTACCGACCGCTGCAGTGCTGCTGCTCTTCCACGGGAGTTTATTCTCCCGTTAGCTCCGGGTTAGCTCACACGGCTCTAAAGTATTCACTGTCTGACTGTCACACAAGCAGCTGATACATATCCCCAGTTCCCCTTAAGTGAATGTGTGTCAGTCTGAATTGACGCTGTTTGGCATCACAACGCTGTTATGAAAGTTTCTCTGGTATAACATGGGTGATGTTAGCATAGCAACCGAAGCTAAACTGACTACTTGCTAAGCAGTTTTCTACAGGCACATTTTACCGACGTATTTTTCATTATGATTCTACTTGTGATAGTCGGACATGACAACCTGTGCAGCCCATGTATTGATTCCATCCGATAGCTGCTATAATAACAAACAAAACGTCTGCCTGCTCTCCACAATGATCAATAACAGCGAACGGATGGTCAAAGTAAGGTACAAATAAACAGAATCACACGAAGCCTGGTTAGTGTTGCCTGACTTTATAAAGTGTGTTTTTTTTTTAACAAGTGTGTGGTTGCGTTCTAGTCACTTTGCTCAGCACTACTGCTTGTTACAACTTTTATTTGCCGTACTCGCCTTAACTGTTATCTCAGGTTAATCTCGCCCCCCTCCGACGTAAGCGTGACGTATGCGGTTCTTGCTTCTACACGGACAACTTTTTGGTGCTCGAAACGAACCGGATTCCGGAGCTTAGAGGCTGCTCCGCTGCGGTGTGAAGAGGAAAACCCGGTGCTTTTCAAGCACCAGCACCGAACCGGCCCCGAAACACCGTTGGTGTGAATGGGGTAACAGAGACATTAGTAACGTATCGTGTTTTGATTAATTAATGATATCATTAGTCAGTGACTTACATTGCAGTTGGTGGTCTGGCTTCAGCAACGTCATCATTCCCGGAGGAGGTCTAAAAAGCAAAATAGAAAATATTTCTTATTGTCTGTCATCATGTCAAGCAAGCACTAATTTGTTTGGTCCCCAAACAAGGTTTTTGTAAAGGCAATTAATCATATAGTCGTTAGTTATAATTTGTCTCAATAAAGTTGTCATGCTTTTTGCTGTGACCCTGTCTGTTGTTCCTGTGTACGTTAGTATTTGACAGGCAGTAGGGAGCTACTGTGACCATTGTCCGGTTTCGTAAAATGTAATGTGCACTTAGTTTCCCGATTCCTTTATAAATGACCGCAGTGTAAGAAAACGTTTTTATAGAGTACTTGTCCATGGACAAGTGAGTTTGGCAATTACTTGTCCGAATACATTTTTCACTTGTCCAGAAAAATCGATCGGCATCGTATTTTACATTTTCCCACGTTTTTTACGACACCGCTAACGTAAGTGAGCAGTAAGATTTTACTGCATCACACATAGGGTTGGGTATCGTTTGGATTTTAACGATTCTGGTTATGCTTTTCGGTTTTCGATTCTTTGAGAGGGTAAAAATAAGTCCCATGACAAACTGGGAGAAAAATATATTTATGAAAACATTAAGTCAAATCTGTATTCCTATTTACAAATCACTTCATACTGTTTAATTTTGTTACGGTTATTGAATACAATTATATAAAAATAATTGTTTAGTTAGTTCTAAGTGGTGCAGTTTGAGAATGTACAATTGGCCCAGTCTCCTCTGATGTTACACTGCAACCTGCCTGTGAGACAGAGTCCAACCACAGTCTGTCCAACACATGTCTTGCAATACACATGCTGCAGCTGCCCAGCTGCTCACAGTTTGTAAAAGTAAATAAATAGTATTTTCATTTCAATAATTTACTTTCTATACCCTGCTTCATAAACAATACTGACATCCCTGTGCTCCTCCGAGTCTGGGGGTCCGGGGATGTGAGGACAGCGCAGGGAGGCTGCTTTTGTTACTTCATAAAAGGAAATGGCGGTCAATATTAACAACATAGGAGCCAAAACGCTTAATAACCTTCATTACGTGTTAGAGAAAGAACATAAGAAAGTTTGACAAAGATGAGGCTGTTAAACGGGCAGCGGATCCGCTGTGTGTAGAAAGAGAGAGAGAGACGCTAAGCTGCACCATGCAGCGATCAGCTGATACAGAGCATAGAGAGAGCTGCGGTCCGCGGGGCTCGGCCTCCGCCTCCTGTCCTCACAACTCTTATTAATCCCGGTACCGGACAATTGTTATTTGTCAATAAATGTCAATAAATAAGGGCGAAAAACGTCACGTGTCCGTCGGACAAATCAATTGAAAGCTCTACTTGTCCGATATTGTAAATAACACGTCCCGGACAGTGGGACGTGTGCTTTTTTTTGCTAGTGACCTGTGTGTCTTTGTACTCATGATCAGATCCCAGTAGCACACGCTGGGGCGGGGATCTGTCCTTTCAGCAGAAATTGATAGATTCCATTAAATGCTTTTAGACTTTATCAAAAAACACAACTTCATTTTTGCTTCTATATTTGGTAATTTCTCAGCAGAAGGTGATTATGTTGTGGAATTTCCACATTACACAGAATGTGAAATTAGCTTTTCAGGCCATGATCGCTGCATGAATAAAAATGTATAAAGGGGATATTTATATAACTTTCCTCTGCTGCTTCCTCTTTTGGTTCCTCCGTTGATTTCGCAGGAACAGCTGGACGCTCCTTATCACCAACCACAAAGCTAGAGCATCTATTGTTACACAAACAGGATTTTATGCATTTTAAGATTTCGACTTAACCACAAATTATGTTTGGGTGCCGTGTGGAGACTTACTGGGGAGAATCATGTGGTTCTTGTCTGGTTGATTGCCCAGCTTTTATATTCACCCTGTCCTTCAGAACATTTTCATTTAGCATGCCTGAAACTTCAGTGGCCGTTTTCTGAGGAACTATTGCAGCTCTTTCTGTCTGAAAGTCAGGGAGAAAACAATAATAATTCCCAAAAGCTACATTTTGAAAAAAGTATCAACAAAACAGGCACATCCGGATAATAAATGTGAGATGCTCGACAGAAGAACAAAAATAAATAACGCACACAAGAAAATACTGCCATTAACATACATCAATAATAACTACTATCTCATGTATAGTGTCAAGCTCTTCATCAGAAAAAATGTAAGGTTTGAAAGTAACTAATTAAATATATGTTCATGCGAGAATTATCTTATGCGCAGACTATTAAAAAAAAGCATCCTACCACTGGTTTGGGATTCTCCTTCTCTCTTAAACCTTCCAGGGCATTTTTAGCTGCATTCAGCTTGGCTTCCTTTGCGTTTTTTCCCCCACCAATGGGAAAGTATTGACCATTGACCACAGCGCTCTTGAAGAATCTAATGAAGAGTAGTAAAACATATAGTTATAGTCAAGATGCCTTGTGACAGTGTTGCACAATCAAAAATACACAATTAATAAGCAATGTGTGTGTATATATATATATATATATATATCGATTGATGATTTTATTCAATGCTTATGCTATGTTTTCATCATAGATTATTTAATTAAAATAACGGTGTCCAGAACAGGTTGATAGATAGATTCAGATCTTAACATATTCAATTACAAATATACTACAAAGTAGGGATGGGAACGATTAATCGAATATTCGAAATGATGAGTCTTTTCACTGGCTAGGCCCATACATCTAGGACAGGGGTGTCAAACTCAAGACCCTGGGGCGTAATCCGCCCCCGACTTCAAATGTAAAAATGCCGGATTTTAGCTTTGTAAAAAAGGTCGTTGACGAACATTTTTCGTGATAATTTTTCGTTGACGAAATTAACACTGTCCTAAATGATGTCCTTACACCGAGAGTAAACACTTGACATGTAACAGGGTTACATGTAAAGTAACCCTGTTAGGTAAAGTTCATGGAGAATGACTTCTCCATGAACTTTACCTAATTTTCCATGACCAAAACAAATACTATTTCTCTGCGGTAGGTACCACTGAAAATGGTTTATTTTAACATGGAACAGGAAAATAAGGTCTGCATATGAAACATGTTGTGCTTATCTAAAACAAATCAAATAGTAGGCTTGATAGCTTCTACAGGCGAAAGCAACTAAAATCTCTCACCAGCAAAATACCTCGTCAGTTAAATGCCATTTTACGTTTCATTACTATACGATACAGTATTTATTATCATTATAGTATTACTATTTCGGGGGTTAGATAACATATCAATTATATTTGATGCAACTTTAATTACATTTCCATTACTTTTCCAAAACTTTGGGTAAAATAGCTTCGAGAACTTCCGAAGAAGCTAGCAACAGCTTTAGCTAGTTTAGCAAGTCACCTTTGATTGGGCTCAGGTGGTTCCTCAGGGTACACGTCTTCATATTTTAACTCCCAGCGTGCGTTCCGTGCTTGTTTCTTCAGCTGTGCTACGAATTTTTTCTTTTTTCCCATTTTTAAACCATTGGTGCACAATAAATACCGATGCAGAACTTCTGTCCGACGACCACTGACTAGCGAGGTCCTACATCCATGTTTTCACGTCGTCCACATTTAAATCTCCGCCTTTTTTTCCCGAACCTAGCCATTGGCTGCATCCAGAGCAGAGCCGGCCGCATCCAGTTCCTTCTTCTTCTTCTTTTGGATTTTTAGAGGCGGTTGGCATCCAAACGTTGCATTACCGCCTACTACTGGATGAATAATATACTTCCTTTTCCAAAAACACTTATAACTAACGGAAAAAAATACTTATATAATTATATATATATTTACAAAAACAAAACAAAAATTAAAAATTAACTTACTATAATTAAGCTAAACTTGTTATACTCTTATCTCAAATGAGAACTAATATCATTGCTGTGAGAGGACATGAAAGCATTTGAGTTTGAGAGTACATTTGTCAAATGTTTGTACCTTATTTAAAAAAACTAACAAATGACCTCTGAACAAATCAAACGCTGTAAAGCAACCATAAATGCCAAAATATAAAATCAAGGTAATTAAGCTGTTACACTGGGAAAAGTGTATGAATGGTAAGAGCCGCTGCGTTTGGCTGGCCGCGACATATATTTATTGTGTTAAACCTTAAGCTGCCTAATAACTTGCTATGTCCTTATTATTTTTCTATTTCCATGTTTTAATTTTGCCTTAGTATTTCAAAAGTCATCTTCTTTGATTCTATCTACAGTCCATGAATAATTGAAAAGACTACAGTACAGTGTGTGTGCTTGTACATTTCAATGTAGATGCATGACCATTCTTACCCATATAAAAAAATATATATTTTGAAACATTACATATTCAGTACAAAACATGTGACTATCTCCGGCATTTAATAAAATGTAAACAGTAGACACGGAAAATTAACAGCACATGATTATTTAGAACAGTTGAAAAATGTGAATATGTGTGTGTATACTTTTTAAAATAATGATATTATTGGATTTCACATTTAATTGTAAAACCCACTCTCTCTGTAAAGCGACTTTGAGCACCTGTAAAAGCGTTAACAAAATGAATCTATTATTATTATCTTGGGGGGAAAAGGCCATTGCCTTGAATACAATTAATTTCCTCCAGCAGAAAAAGAAATGTCTTGCTTGATTGTTTTATGCAAAGGTTTTTTTTTTTTTTAAATAAAAGCTGTACAAGGTAAGATAAAGATAGACATCAAATATGTGTTATTGGTTGTGAGCATATTCTAATGTTTTTTTTATCATTTAAATATATACAGTTCTGTTTCATATGAGTGTTGAGAGCTGTATCCATAAATCTCTTAATTTCCCCTCAAAGTGCACCAGATTGATGCATTCAACTTCAATTTAAAGAAAAAAATCTTCATCACTCATCATATACACTACAAATGTTTCCTTTCTTTTTTAACACCAGTCCCTAATATATTTGTAGAAAGGCAGGAAATGTAATTAAATCGCGAAAATGTTTCATGGCGGAGGACCCCCTGTTTTGTGTCCCCCCCACTTCTCAAACCA